CTCCTCCTCCTCCTCCTCCTCCTCCTCCTCCTCCTCCTCCTCCTATTCCTTCCAGTTCTCCTCCTCCCCCCTCTCGTGCGTGCTTGTGGGCAGATGATCCAGGATGCTCCTCGATGGCCCTCGGCGAGAACAAAAATCACACGTCCGAGCGATGCCAAGAAGTCCAACCAGAGATCCCTTCCTGTCCTCAGGGCCCAGCCCTCAGGGTCCCATCTTTGAGCCACCGAGCTGGAGCACCCCCTCCTGCAGCTGGTCCAGGCCGGCCCGCAGCTCCTCTGCATGGGGGCGGTCGGGAGCCCACGGGAGGGACTTACTGGGCTCTGCGACCGTCAAAAGCTACTCAAAAAGATTAAAAAAAACACCCCCAAGGAAGGGGTCCAGCTCTCTGGGGTCCACGTTGCGAACAACAATGACAGCAGCAAGGTAGCACTGTCAGCTGAGAATCTGGTCCCAGGCCCCCGCTGTCCCCTGTCGTGGGCCCCTGGCCGTCCAAACGGCGACGACGTCTGAGAGGCTTCGTGTGGGACTGGACCAAGGGTAGGGAAGGTCGAGGAAAGCGAGAAAGGCAGCTCAGGGCCGAAGTTTCCCAGGGAAACGCGGTCAGCCGGAGCGTGTCTGGGCCAGATTGGTGTATATGGCACGGGAGTCTTGGGCCCCCTCTGGAATGTGGGGCTCGAGGGTCATGGGCCCCCATGGGAGCCTAGGGCCCAGGAGTCTCGGGCCCCCGTGGGATCTGGGCCCAGGAGTCTTGTGCTTCTTTGCAGGCTACAGCCCAGGAGCCCTGGGCCCCCTCTGGAGCCGAAGGCCCAGGAGTGCTGGGCCCTCTTGGAGTCTAGCCCCCTTGGAGTCTAGGGCCCAGGAGTCCTAGGCCCATGTGGAGATTAGGGCCCAGGCATTTCGGTCCTGGCTGGCATTTGTGGCCCAAGAGTCCTAACCAAGGGCCCAGGAGTCCTGGGCCCCCGTGGAGTCGAAGGCCCAGGAGTCTGGCGCCCCTTTGAAGTCCTGGGCCTCCTTGGAGACTCATGCCCAGGAGTCTCGGGCCCCCTTCTGGAGTCTAGGGATCAAGACTCCTGAACCCCCTTGGAGTCGAAGGCCCATGACCCTGGGCTCCCATCCTTTACCCCAGAGGCCAAGAGCCTTGGGCCGCCCCCTCGAATCTGGGGGCCAGGAGTCGTGGGCCTCCCTGGAGTCTAGGGCCCAGGAGTCTTCGGCACCCTTGGGTTCTAGGGCCCAGGAGTCTCGGGCACCCCCGGGGCCGCCGGGAGAACAGCACTGCCGAAGGCGCCGGAACCGCCAGGCGAACAGCACGGCCGGAGGCGCCGGAACCGCCGAGCCCTCGGCGCCCGAAGAAAACGAAAACGTCGTCGCCGACTCGCAACACCGAGGCCACTCACCGACATGCCCCCCGCCCCACATACACTTTCGGAGCTCCGCGCGGATTTCTCGGATCGGTGCCAGGCCCCTTTCCCACGGGGCGCGACAGGGGCGGCGCCTGGGGCGCCGCATGGGGGGTCTCGGCGCCCATGCAGGAGCCTCCCGCGGAGTTCCGAAAGGTGTACGGTCATGGCGTTTTTTTGTCCCTCCACGACCCCAGGCCGTTCGTTCCTCGACAATTCGGGGCGATGTTTTCGAAAATTCCTCGAAATTTGAGAGCCCGCTTTGATCCGCCACCGTGCCCACTGGACCGTTGAGGCGTGGAGCGATGCCAAGGTATGTCTGGCATGGCTCTTGAGTCGTAATCAGGAGTCGCCCCACAATCTACCCGCAGACTCTTGCATGCATCCCCCATGTTTATCGAAGCCACTTCCCTCGTGCCCGCAAGAGCATAATGCACATCCAGTATGGCAGCCAATGTCCGAAACCCTATTCCAGGCGTGCCTGCTCGAGGTTGGTGCACTTCCCGCGTAGCAGCGAATGCCTAAACCATCATTCCACGCGCGCCCGCTCAAGGATGGTGCGCTTCCCGCATGCAGCTAGCGTCTGAATCAATAGGAAACGAGTTTGAGTTCTCATCGTGTATAAGAAAAGGACAACGGGTAAAGGGCACGATGAGAGGATGGCGATTTGAGAAGACTAAATGCCTTCTGTCCGTCCCCACCGCAGCATATTATGCGCCGAGCAGGCAAATGGGGCTGCGCTGCCTTGGGCCCACACAGTTGCGGGTAACGCAAGCAAGCATTGAGCGCCCCCCACCTCGGAACGCCCCTGCAAACTCGAAGGGGGGAACCGAAGTTCGCCCGCTACCGTACCGAGTACCAGGCTCAAGGGGCACAGCGAAACGTGAAGGATCAATAGCTGGCTGATCCAGCCACCGAACCCGCACTGCATTACTGCGTAAAAAAGCGAGGGCGCCACGTGCCGGAATCATGCTCCCATTATTACAGCACCCGAACGTCAAAGTGAACTGGGCAGAGGTAAGCTGAAGGACGCATCTTAAAGGAGGGCGGACCGGGGCTAGCCCTGAAACTCCAGGGGCAAGCCGATGTGGACTGGTCTCACATCGGCGCGAGATGGATTGCGTCGAGGTCGTGATTCCACGACGTCGGCTCGAGATCGCGCCCCCGCGACACTGGGTACAGAGTGAAGCGTGGAAACACGCTCCTCAGCGCGCAGTCGGGGGTCCGCAAAAGTTCGGCGCGGGGCTAGAAAGGGCACCCACCCTTCGTTTCCACACTGGGTGACTGCAAGCGAGAAATCCGCCAGACCTCTCGTGCCCATTAGGCGCATAAGCAGCCGCCGCGGTCACATGTCGGCGGCGGGGGGGTCGCTGGCACGGCATGGGGCGCATAACTTGACTTCGTAGTTAAGGCGCTGGTATCCAGCCATACATTGCACACGTAGATCACGGTCGACCCCTTGGTTCGGCCATCCGCGGACACATCGCGAGCGCCACACAACTGCGCGACATTGATGATGCTGACAGAAACTCACGCGGCCAGCCCCTGTGACCCATACATGCATTCTCGGCAGGCGTCTCGCTGTCTTTGCTGGAGAGAGAGAGAGAGAGAGAGAGAGAGAGAGAGAGAGAGAGACTTGGCAACAGAGTTCAAATTACACGGATGCAGAGCCTTTCGTGATCTCGGAGGCGCTTGAGCTCAGAAGAGGTTGCGAGACCACCGATGGCCTCGCGTCGCGTAACCACGCTTGGGTAACACATGTCCATAGTTTGGGCTGCAACATGCGACTACGCGGCGCATCTGGATCGCACCTGGAGGCGTTGGGACTCACATAGGCCCCGACGCAATGCACGACCTGCTCCTTACTGCTCGTGTTTCTGTGGTCTCATCGCCCTCCACACCCTGACCAGTGAGTTCCCGATACCGAGAGTTGCGCGCAGAGCCACTGAGCCATCGGGAGTCATGGCCTTGCAGTTGGTGTTCTCAAGTTATCATAACAGCTTGCGGACATGGGCATTCAATCGACTTGGGAAGCACCTGTATCCGCTGCAGAATACAATATTCACCATGATCCACATCTGCGCAAGCGTCGCATATACCAAAGCCACCCCCCCACACACACCGAAGCCTAACAAACAAACGAACATGTCATTGCCGATATTGGTAGCCTGTGAATCTGCAGGGGCACCGAGTAGTTTGATGTACTCGCCTTGGCCCATGATGGCGTCCCCGTCCTCGGTCTTGGCATAGCGTACCACGCAGCTCATGTGGTCTTGCTTGTTTAGTTTGCATGTATCGAATTATTGCTCAGCTTGTCGGACATAATCATCCATGCTTGTCTCTTTGCCGCAAATGCTGATGTCGTTGGCGCGCTTGTCATCAAGTCGGTTAGTGGCGACCTAACCCCTGGACGTATGCCATAGATCTAGGGCCAAACCTTTCTGTGGCCGGCTTTTATTTGGAGGAAATGGGCGCGCGGTGCGCCTTTGGCGCCAGTGCCTGGCTTGAGTCACTTAAGACAGCGTTTCGTCATAGACTTCAAATACAAGAAGTGAGCGCCGCACTGAGGCACTGCCTGGAGGCTGTACGAAATGGACCGTACGTTTTGCTCTCCAGTCGCTCTGGCCAGTTCTGGGTAGGTCAATTCCTTCAGAACGGCACTGTCGACGTCCAGGCTGGCGAAGGCTCATCCGTGACACCGCGCAGCCTCGCCGGCCAAAAGTCGCCGGGGCGTTTGTCGGGCGGCGCCTGAGAAGGTCTCCACGGAGAACGCCTCGTGGCACATGAAACTGCGCAATACAAGACGCAACCGGACGATCCCTTCCATTTCCCCCAAATCTTAATGCGCGAACTGTCAAGCGTAGACGTATCTTGATGCACGTGCGTTCTGGGCCTTCGATACAAATTCTTTTGCGAGGCACTTGCTGTCAAATCAAGCTTTGAGTCCAACCTACAGCGCAGCAGATACCTGCTTGGGATTGTTGACAATATCCTGCCGGGTTGGCAAGTCGCCCTCCTTGGCCACGACTGCTCTTTCAATCCCGTCTGAGACGCGCACGCGCGGGGTCGCCATTTCGCCGGGGCGCGTCGTTTCAAGCTGCGGCCCATTCAGAACTACAGGCCTCGAAAGAAATTAGAGAACATTCATGCCGCATTCATCTGTCAATGCCCCCCAAATGATCAATGTTGGCGGTGGGTTGACTGAGCTGCACTGCGGCCGCAGTCAGTCCCGCAGGTGCCAACTTTGAGTTTGAGGGGCGGGGGAGTGTCCACTACTTGTTTCCCTCTACCGTACCTTGGCCGTGTCGTAGGTAAGCCATAGCGCGGCCAGTCGGCCACGCTCATCTGAGTCCACGTCGTAGCCGATTCCACCATCGACGTTGGCAACGTCGACGGTCATCATGGATGCTCCAGAACGCTGGTCAGAGAACAGGACATCGCTTTGCTCATGGTCACGACGATCCCAGATGTCCTGGTTGAACATGTTGTGTTCGTGCTCGTACGCCACAAATACTGCCTTTGCAGACATCACTGGTGCAGGGGCAGTTTAGGGATCTTGCACCTGTCGGGTCAAAGCGCGAGCCTTTTTGTAAAACTGCTCGACGACCACGAGTTCATTGTACCAGTCGCGTAAGGTCGCGCATCGCCCTCGCGCTAATCTTCCTTTTCCTCAATCTTGGATATACGGTCGTCGCCTCGTTCCGACGCCGCGGGCGCCTCGGAGTGGGTCACGCCACCGCGATCATCACCACCAGGGGGCGCGTCAGACAGTTCATGGAGAAGAATGATGGCCCCGTCAAACGAGTGAGCGGGTCTAGTCGGCATGAGGCATTGAATGAGACGCGAGTGATGTGAAGTTGGTGTTGTGCGATT